GATTTGGGGATAAGTTTGAAAAGCCATGTCAGAAGAGTAGGATTAGAGACAAAGTATTAAGGTAACATATTTGCATAAAGTTTTAATAACACTGACAATTTTATTTGTTTATGTTTATTAATTAAAATTTAGTTGCAATTGATTTCATATTCTAATATTTTTGAGAAAATTTTACTTATATAGATACCTAAATATTATGCTGCTTTTTTATTTTAAAGTGTGCCAACTGTGCTGTTATTTTTATACTAGTAATATTGTATACTGTAGGTATCGTATTCATATATAGTTATATATATCAGTAGTATAGATACTTACTTTCTTTCTATGCGTACTTATATCCTTGATAGTCTTTTTAAGTGCATATAATACTACTTTTTTTAAGAGAAGGCAGTTTTTAATAATCTATTGTTAATTCCCCTAATCCTATGTCCCCTAGTTCTGTTATACAACAATTATATATTTTTTATCATTACTGATTTTAAAAGTTTCTTTTCAAAGAATTTGACCATATATTTTTTTTTCAGAATAATTGGGCTGTTTCTGAACAATATTGAATATAAATATTCAAAAATATGATTGATAACTGCATATCCTACAAGTAGATCAATACCAAAATCCCATTAGAGAAATAAGTTAAAATTATGTTTTACTTGTATAATTTTCTTGTTATTTGTCCACCATTATTTGTGACTTAGAAATTAAATAGTCAAAAAGAATTTGGTACCATTTTTTATTTCCCCAAAAAAAATTAATTGTTAAATAATTATATATTGCTTAAGATACAGTATATTATATTTTGTTTATAGTTGATAATTCTAGTTCTTAGTTGTTTATAGTTGATAATTAACAATATTTCTGATGTTAGATAAAAAATTTAATTACCAATAGCTACCTACCTATGTAGCTGCAGATTATATATTGTGTAGTAGGTACTGTATAATTCTTTAGTTCAAGAAACAAATATCAGTACAAGATGAGTACAAGTATATAACCAAAAAAATGTTGATGCAAATTCTTTGTATAACATACGTACCCCTATGGTATTCAACTTTTCATTGTTCTTTTAATTAGATACACAATAAGCACATTAATTCGTTTATTAAACAACCAAAACTAACTACTTAAATTCACAATATAAATATTACAATAAATGTATAAGTTTTGATCAATTCCTATTATTAATACCTGACTACTTCATACTTTATAACTACTAATGGCTATCCTACTAACACACTAGCCAACTAATAATAAACCTGTTCTAAAAAAATACAACATAAAGACATCGTTATTGCAATAATATAGAAATATATTCCATGTATCATTAACTACCTATAAATACAATACCCACATCTTCTTTTACGTGAATAGTACGTTAGGAGGCAGAAATATTGCCTGCATTGTACATCGTACAAATTGGCTAGAATTTATTAATATCCATTGCAAACATTTCTCTTTCAAAGGGTCTAAATGTTTTGTCTTTTTACTGTGTCCCTGTAATATGTTATCAAATGACCTGGACAATAATAATTGTTTTACCTTTTTTTCAAACTAAACTCTTTAAACAAACTATATAAATAAAATTTATCACATAACCTAACTTGCTGCTAAAATTTCTTTCTTGTTATTCTATGTTCCTGTATTGTTATTCTTCACATTATCAGTTTCTATGAGCAATATCATTACTAAATCAAGGAAGTCTATTCCTAATGCCAATTTAAATTCTGTGAAGGCACAACACTTTCTTCAATATTTGTTTACTTCCAAAAAAGGTAAAAGCATATAACTTGAAATAATATTTCAAGTATATATTTAAATTTTTGACATTAAGCACTCACATTTAGAACATCTGAAATAAGAAATTTTGTAATTCTACGCGTCTAAAAAGATATAACATTTTTCTCACTATAGAGCGAAATTTCTTTGCGGCTTCAGATACAAAACTTGCGGATTTTCATACATCGAAATACAAAATAAGATATTATTTATTAGTAGACAAATACCAGAATATAGAAGGCCAAACCAAACCTATAGGAAATAACTTTAAGATAAATTATTCAAAAAACGTTTGGATCTATAAAATAATCTCATCACATCTGTCAGTGAAATGAGTCAAAAAACATAGGTTACCGTCAATTTATATGTTTTCAATTTCAAATACTCGACGCCCATTGGTCGTGACGAAATCGTCTTCCTCGACAAAATACGGCATTTTTTCCAACATAGCCCGCTATAGGGAGTTGAATATCCTTCTTCTATATATCCTTGACTTGAACTAAAGTCGTCATCGTTCTTCAAAAAAAAATTAGTGGCCTGAAGAAAAACTCTCTTAACTCAAGAAAACTGGTTCTCTTGAAAAATTCGAAAATTTCTCTTGGATCTATTTTCATTCAACCAAGTGCAAGTTACTTTGTTTTAAGATAATAAGAAAAATACGCTAGGAAGTACTTCATTCAAGAAACATGGCCATTTTTCCAATAGCTAAATACTTTTTCGATGAAAAATAATAACGACATGCAAAGACGATGACGAAGGACGGTATATACAATCAGTCGGCATGGCATGGCAGTCCGATCAGTCGTACGTCGCATTTCAAATAATTACAAAAATTTTAGAATTTCAAGTCGTCGTATTAAAAAATTCAAAATGTGACCAATGTTATAATTTTAATAATTTAGATTAAGATTAATTAATCAAAGTAAAGCAAATGCTTTACTTTAATTAATCGTGATGTAACATTTTTTTGTAATTTGTAGAGTGATGAACCACCCCAAAAAATACCAAGAAGTGAAGAAGCAGAAATAACTACTATCGAGGAAAATAATATCACTTTACTTACTACAGACCAGGAAAACCTAAATTTATCAGAAAATAATATACCGAAAGTAATATGCCTGTATATACCTATATATGATGTATAGACTTTTCTTAGATCAAAATAAATTTTAGTTGGGTCAATATTATTCGCAATTGGTTTAAGAAAAGTGTCTCTTTAATCAAGAAATGTCCCTTTTCAATCAAGAATTTTTGCATGAATCAAAGAAACTGTTGTTCTTGTAGCAAGAACTTCTATGCATATTCATTTTGGGTCAAGAGTGAAATACTTTGGACAGATAGATTCTACTATTCTCTAAAGTAATTTTTTAAAGCTTATGAAAAGATAGTTAATGCTTTGGGCAAGGAAACGTCGTTCTTGGCCCTATTGAAAAGCGCCAATGTTTTGGGTCAAAGTCATATTCATTTCGACTGAGAGATACTTTTTTTCAGTGTGTAGCTATATTTTTTGTAACTAGATGTTAAAAGGTAATTGAAAAATTTGTATTAAATGTTCATAAATATTATTTAAGAAAGGGCGATTTTTACAAACCTAAAAGATTTGTCAGAATGATTTAGATTTTCTTATAGTACAATTGAAGAAATACCCAGAGGATATTTTTTTAAATATAGATTGTTTAAAATATAAAAACGTATATGCTCTATAAGAAACAAATATTTCGATAGATATGTTACAAGATGGACGGAACGCTTATGGCATAACCTTGACATTAATTAAACACGAGTCAGTAACCTCCTGAATTTCATAGAAATTCTTTCAAGGTCAGTTTTTTTGGAGTAATGTTGAATTTTATTAAAAAAAAACAGAACTTTAACCGATGTAGTCACTGAGTAAAATATAGCTACTGATCTGTGTAATATTCAATGAAAAATGGCGTCCCAGTGGCCAGTGAAATGACAAAAGTTGTGGAAAATTAGAAAAAAATTGAAGATTTCTATTGCTAATTAATAAAAATAAACCAAATTTGGCACAAAAATACTGTGGCACCCGAGAATCTGGCCATTAGTTTTTGGTGGGGGTGGGGGGTTGGTAAGGGGGTATGGGAGGGGGTTAAAAATTAAAAAAAATCGTAATTCTAAAATTACAGTAGCCAGTGAAACGCGCTTTTCAAATTAAGATTAGGAATAATATTTGCAACAAAATTTGTAATAACATCAAAATCAGTCAAAGTCGCAGTTTTCGAGATATTAACATATTTTAGTATGGGCGGCTATACGTGCCTCCCGGCGCCAATTTTTTTTATTTTTTCTCTATAATTATTATTTTTGTTACAGATTTTCAGGGTTATTTTTGATAAAGAAATAAAAAAGTATTTGAAACTGAGTATCGAATTTACGAAAAGTATCTAAAATGTGCTTTATAGGAAATTGAAAATAGTTTTAATCAAGATAGTGTAATATATTTTTAACAAACAATAATAATATGCCTTTTCAGTGACAGTGATATTACAAAAACACGACTATTTCAACTTTGTTGATGATCCTTTCTAAAAAAAGCAAAGGCAAAAATTGCAGGAAAAATTTCTTGCCTTCTTTAAAAGCAAATATCTACAACAAAAATTAAGCTATTGAGATGAATCAAAAAACAAACTATAGAGAAAGGATGTACCTTTAATGACAAAGTAGTTTTTTAATTCCTAACTTCATTAAACCAATCCACAGGGTGATTAAAACTTTCACTAAAATAACAATCTTTTGTTTTTCCCCGTATAATTGACAGATGGCAACTTTCGTTTTTAATTTAGAAAGAAACACTAAAAAGTCAAATAATTTAGCTACAAATTGCTTAAAAATTCATCAAAATCGGTCCGCTAGATCAAAATATATTGATTTTTAACTTTGTTTATTTTTGCTTAAAAAAATCGAAACGTTAAATAAAATATTAAAAATGTAAAAAATAAAAAAGACACTAGTTAAGATTAAGTGAACTGGTTATAGTTCGGTACAAACTCCGCTTTATTTTTAAATGAACATGTCTCATATATTACTTAGCAACACAAACAAACAACGCATGCATCATATAATATATTTCTCATATCTTAACTCAGATAAATAACCACTATTATGTATTATACACTTTAGGCACAAAAACTAGATGGCTATCAAAGTAATTGAGAAAAAGAAACATTCAGAAAATATTCAATTGCATTTCTGACCTGCATTCTTACCTATTATTGCGCTTGGTAAACCACATTCCTCGAAATGCTTGCCATTAGAATCCATAATCCCATTCCTTGCGAGCATATCTATTCACCTTCATCACCTAGCTTGCCGTCCTGCATACAATCCAACCTTTCCGTCGCTTATAGAAGGCTCGTCGATGGCTCCTCTTCTCCGACGGCTGTCACGCACAAAATATACTGGCTAAATGGTGCCATGTCACCAAATCGCACATAAGTATGTATAAGTCAGCTGTCAGCTTGACTACTCGTCTCTCCGTCCTTGTTTCCCGGTCGCTTTTTTATTGTTGTTGCTGCCGTTGTTTCGCAAAAGGACAGGGACGGGAGATGATGGTAATCATTATTGGCGGCAACTGGCTCTCCATCTCCCTGCGTGACGTATGAGATTTTTGTGTACGGTAGGTCTGGCGGGGTATGATTATGCTGCCGCTTGTTTTTGTATGGTTGTTTGTGTCGGTCGTGCTCATAGGCGTAGAAGCTTGTTTTTTTCTTTGATGAATTTCTAAAAATAATGAAATATAAGTCAAACGTACAGTCTTGTCACAAAAATGTAATTTTTACATACGATAATCGCAAAAACATCGCCAAAAATATGTTTAAATTTGTTGTATAATTTAAAATACTGAGCAGCTCTTTTTACTTTATAGAGCAAATGATTGTAACAGATATTTTATTTAGATTAAACGGAATTTTATTATCGCTATGTTGGTTACATTGGGTCGCGATCAGCAACGTTGTCTTTTATTATTTGACAATTATTGTAATGTCAGTCATTATTTTGTATAATATCCTGTTCTTGTTGAATCTTTGAGAGTAGGTAATTCTCGTTTTTTTGCTTATTTTTATAGTTTTTTTAAATTGTACTTTTAGGCACAAACAGTTCTTTTAAGAATTAAATTTTCGAGTTTTTGTATTTCATTTCTTGAAATTGTGTGTTGAAAATATGCCGAAGCATTTAAACAGTCGAAGCAAAGGGCTTGTACCTTCCCTGATAAGTTATTTTGAACGAGAACGTGAAAATAAAAGTGCTTTATTACACTTGATTGCAGTGAGAGAAGTAAGTTTCATTGGTAAGCACATTATACCATTTTCAAAGTTATTTCTACGTTAGTTTCTAGTAAATTATTTGATTGTTAGCTTGTGCATTAATGTCACACTCTTATTTCTTATTACGACTTGTATGGTTGTAAGTTGTACATCAATAAATAAATAAGTAACCCATAAAAACATTTAGAATAATCTTCATAATGGATTAGTTTTTGAAAATATGTAATATAGTAAAATAAGGTATAAAACAAATATAAATCAAATAATTACTAAAATATTAATTATTAAATTAAACATAAAACGTGATATAATAAATATTATACTGATTCTCAATTTTGCATTAAGATAGAAAATCTGGCAGCCCTGTTGCCATCGCTTGTCGCTTAAAGTTGATCACGTGCATCCGAAATTGTTTTGCGATTACCGTATACCGGGTGTTGCATCGTCGAGCGGGACATAGGAAATCCCATGTAAATTTTAATGGGGTCAATGGGGCTTCCCTAATTATTTTAGAGAATAATTCTATTTAGGTTTATTGAAGAGCACTAAAACCCACATTCAAAAGAATAACTTTAGATATTTTTGATTAGCCGATTTGTTATCGCCGATTTCTTTTTAAATATTTCTCTTTTCTTATGGCCCTGTATTTACTTATGAGCACCAGTCAAGATAAAAGGTAACTGTCAAATGAAGTTATCATTTCAGAAATTTATCTATTATTTATCTATTAAAAACTCATACCTACATCGAAAATATTAGCCATGAATTACACTACCGAAGAAAAAGTATTGATGATTAAATGGTATTATCAAGGAAATAGTTATCAAAAAGTGTCGGACATGTTTGCGGCTCTGTATCCGAATAGACCGATACCTGGAAAATCTACAATCGCAAGGAATATCCAGATATTTGAGACCAAAGGTATCCTAATAAATAACTGCAGATGTGAAGCAAGGCAGGAACAAAGAGAAGATGCAAGAAATGATACCGACTTGGAAGTTTTATTGTGCGTGGAAGAGAACGATGGAAAGATCAGCACAAGGAAACTTGAGGATGAAATAGGAATAGATCACACTACAGCGTTTCGAATTTTGAAACGACATAAATACTATTCCTTCAAATATGAAAAGCACCAAGAGCTACGAGATGGGGACGAAATACGGCGGCAGGCGTTTTGTTTTGATATGATGGAAAGAGCAAACACTGATAGGGAATTTTTAAAAAACATATGTTTCACTGACGAATGCACGTTTACCTTAAATAATGAACCCAATGTTCAAAATTATCGATATTGGAACAAAGAAAACCAACATAGGTTTGTCGAAACAAGGATGCAATATCCACAGAATGTAAACGTTAGGGCAGAGATATTCGGACACAATAATATCGGGCCCTTATTTCTTACGCGAAATTCAAATGCAGAATATTATTTGGAACTACTCGAAAATCATATTTTACCTGCTTTACATGATCCCACTAGGGAAAATCAGGAAGTTTGGTACCAAATGGATGGCGGCAGGCACATAGTAGCCTGGCTGTTCGGGAATATTTAGACAATAGTTTTAACGGAAACGTTATTGGCCTAAATCATACAGTAAATTGACCAGCAAGGTCTCCTGATATTTTGCCAAATGATTTCTTTCTCTGGGGCCATTTCAAAAACAGGATATACAAGGATAAAAAATACCTAAATCTAGACGAATTAAAAAATGCTATTTCTGCCGAATGCAATAGAATTTCAGTTTACCAACTAGTGAATGTAAGAAGAGAATTTTATGATCGCCTGGGTTATTGTCTAGCAGTCGATGGAGGAATATTTGAACATCTTTTTAAATCCTAAAGTTCTAACAATTTAATAGTACCTAAATTAATAAGTTATTGAATATTGTAATAATACTATAATTAACCTTGTAATTGATTACTTTATTTTACTTTAATTCATATTAATTTGTATTTATAAATACATCTTTAAGATTTCCGATGTAGGAATGAGTTTTCAATAATAATAAAGCACTAAATAGGTAAATTTCTGAAACGACAACTTCATTTGACAGTTATCTTTTACCTTGACTGGTGCTCATAAGTAAATACAGGGCCATAAGAAATGAGAAATATTTAAAAAGAAATCGGCGATAACTCGTAAACGGGCTAATCAAAAATATCTAAAGTTATTCTTTTGAATATGGATTTTAGTGCTCTTCAATAAACCTAAATAGAATTATTCTCTAAAATAATTAGGGAAGTCAATAATTAACCCCATTAAAATTCATGGGATTTCCTATGTCCCGTCCGACGATGCAACAACCGGTATATATTTTTACATTCTAATACATAGTCTTTTTTGCGTAATTTTAAATAAAAAATATTTAAGAGCTTCTTGTACCTAACAGAACACTTCAGTACGTTCAAAAACTTCAGTAAAACACTATTCCGTGTGTACGCCCATGACCCAAAAAATCAGTGACCTATTGTAAGGCTGTTTATGATACAGGGGTCGAATGTAATGCGCGCAAATAATGACTTTGTGTGCCGTAGGAAGCGAGGGGGGCAGGGGGGGCATCTCTTTCTGCCTCTAAATCCCTTATAAATCGCCAGGTTTATTGGGCACGCCATCCCAGCCGCGGCACAATACTCTTTTGCCCGTGTCACGGATTCGTTTCTACCTATTTTTCTCCGTCTTGCTGTCTGTTTCCCTCGCATATATGTAGGTATGCAAATTGTGGGGAATAGCGTTGCCGGTTGGTAACTGGGAGGTTCAGGTATATTTTCTTTGATTTTATACGATTTGTATTATAGAAACTATATGGGAGTCGCTTGGAGCGGAGCGTACAGTATCAAAAATGTTGCCGTACTCTGTTTTTTTTTTCTCATGTAAAATTTCGACAGACTATGACAGAAAAAAAAACAGGTGACGTCCATACCAATCCATTTATTTAACTAAAAAAAGTTTCTAATATGTTTTAAGTTACCTGGATGGGTTTATATATAAACCCGTCATGCGTCATTTCTTGTTGTTTTTAACCAGTTTTATTGGTTTATTTAAAAAATGACAGATCATATTTCAATATTATTGGTTTAACGGAACGATGAACGATAACGGACGCCGGCGCCGATGCATATGAACTCGCCTTTAGATTTTTGAGAGTTGGCAAACTCTTACCAAATTATAGGTTATAATTTTGTGTCAAATTATGTCAAATAGAAATGATAAATATTTTGCATTTTGGACTGTGTTATTAGGGGTGTTTCGTGTTTTTTAAAATTAAGTGGAGGAAAACTCAAAGGAGAAATTAAGTATTGACCCAGACCATAGTTTACAGTTAATATTCGCCCAGAGACACAGTTTGCCAGAGATTATGGCCAGAGAGTTGTATTAGCCACAAATAAAGTTTGTGTACTGTCTTGTATATGATACCAAAAACTGGAATATCTGTAAAATACCAGCACACGATAGGTAAATAATAATCATATTGAATAATTTGATAAATGTAATAATAAATGCAGTTGATTGAGCTTGAAACACGGCTTGAAAGCAGGAAATCATTTTTATATCTTTTTTTTTTGGTATGTATTGTTTTTTTAAAATACACCCTTGCTTGTTTTGTATTAACACATACTGTAATTATTTTTAATAAAATAACTGGATTAGATTTTTTCAATTTTATACAGTTTTTTTTTCACAATATTTTGAAGTAATCACTTGGGCTCAGGCTTTTCTGCTATGCGTTCTAATTGTACCAACTTATTTCTTTGTAAAATAAAATAAAATACTTTGACAATAAAATGACCGACACATCTATCACTGTCAAAGATCTTGTCGTAGAACAGACTATACTTGAAGATACCGATGTAGACCATCATATTTGGAATAAAACCTATCTTTAATTTGAATGTAAGAGTGCACACGAGAGACAGCACCTCAAGAGATCTATCAATCTTTAAAAGAGTCAGTTTTACAAAATATTTTGGTGTGCATCTTACAAAAAACCATATTGTTCGAAATTTTAGAATCGTATTCTTCAACTCATTTAAATTTAAATATTAAAATATTCGAATATATAATATGTTCTTTAATTTATTATTATAC